ACACCACACTTGACGTTTGGCCGGGTCGTTAATTGCATGACCTGTTAGCACTAAGGTTAAAATAAATTCTCTGGCAACTGATATGCAGAGTGCAGCTATGCTGTCATGTGGTCTATCCCTCATTTTCTTCAATTCTAACTACAGTGATAGATCTAATGAAACAATTGCATTTTTAAAGTCTTCTGATGTACAACAGTACAAATTGCAGAAATTGGATTTAGACTGACACCTTAACTTATGATTTGACTTTGTTACCAGTACTATAGTAATTTGACACAGGGAAACATGAATAACATATCTCCTCCATAGTTTGCTTGCTCTTGGCATGGAGAATTCTGCAAATTCACAATTAGACATGCATAGAATGCACTAACTGAACTCTAGTTTGTTTTTGCATGTTATTAAAGAACTGGAACTAAGACAAGCTTTTTAATATTAACACAAACTTTTATGAACATTTTTTAAAGTTTGAAAGTTCATATGAAATCATCTGGAGCACAAACTAAATTTATTCTGCAAACAATCACATTGATTATATTCCATTGTTGGACAGGTGCTTGCAAATCAATGCCTTTGAAACTGAATGTAAAGTACACTTTCAGCATCAGTTCAATAGAAATGTTTTACATCAACACAAGCTTGACAACATTAATTAGCTATGGTGCTGAATTCCTGCTTCCAGCAGTTGTCAGAGGATATAGATTCTGTGTTTCCTAAACACCGTGTGAGGCAAAGGTAGTTTGAAGCCACAGCTCATCTTTAGAACCAGACTCACGTGGTAGGGTTCAGCTCCAAATTCCTCTATATGTAACATCATATGGATAGATTCAACAGCAAAATTCTCACTAAAGGAATTACTCTCCAATTTAAATGAAGCATTTCTACACCAAAACATTGAGGACTTGATAACGTAAAGTAAAATCAAGTTTTGATGAATTCAATTTTATAGAGGTATTAATTTATAGCAGGAAGTTAAACCAACTGTATTATATAATTGTACAATCAATGGCTCCATTCGTTAATATGCTGAACCCTTTAGCTCTGATTGATATTTTCTCTGCAAAAGCTCAACACCAGAGTGCTAGCTAGTATGGATACAATTCTACCTATACTTAATGTGACCACTATTTTCAATAGCTAGTTATAATAGTGTTCATCAATACTTGATCATCATTTTATCATAATTGACTTTTAATTTTACTAGTTAATATCACTAAGCTGTTACTTGTTGAACATCATTGTTTAACGCGAGTACTGTACGAAGATGTAGGAGGTACTGACAAATACTAGAGAAAAATCATTGTTTAAATTTGTATAAGAATAGCTGAACGTTTAGATATGTCAGAACCAAAGAACAATGGGGGGAGTGAGCAAGGCAACAGGAACTTTGCAAACTTGTTCAAACTCTGCAATGGCAATGTTAGATCCCAGATGCTCCATGAGGTCCACAGAGAGCAGCAATTGTGACCTGGCAAAGTTCAAAGGGTAGGTGCTATTCCTTAGTCAATAGCAGTTATATAAATGCATTAGGTGACAGATGATCTTTAAGCAAATATGAAGCTGTCAGTTATTGCACACTGTAGGCTCATAGGTCAAATGAATTAGCAACAGAAAAGCTGCAATTAGATTTTCTTTGAACTGAGATTAAACTTCTGGGAATCTAGATTATTTGAATTACTAAACACATAGCTGAATCTCAAGTGCACTGTTAATCTATCTGTAAGACCTGAGTTGGGAACTTTAGTTTCTATTGAAACATATTTACGAATGCAAAATTATCATAATTACAGTGCAGATAGAATAGAGCATAATTAAACTGAATTAACCTAAAAATAAAACCATACCTTTCCTCTAAAACATGATAAAATCTGAGGAAGCACATTTGCCTGATAATATTCAATATTTTATGTACATGGTACTGTAGACCAGTTATTTTTTTCTCTTGACTTTATTAATGCATTTACTGCAATAAATATATAATATCCAGAAATCTCTATTAATTTATTTTGAGTGCAAGAATATATGGACCAGATGTGGATATTTTCCATCAAATGATAAAGCTGCAGAATATTATTGTTTCAATGAGATTATTTGCAACTAAATTTGTTACTAGAGAGAGTAAAAAAAAATTCAATCATGACACAGATATTATTGCTTTCATGTTTTTAAAATTAGACATTCACATACTGGTGCTGTTAAGATGCAATCGAAAAATAAATCAATAATAAGATGGGATGTTGCTCTCAACTTCTAGCACTTGGGGGCAGCAGCACCCACTTAATGCAGAGAGTACCACTGTGCTTGTGGAATTAAGTCCAACATCCTGGCTCAACCACCCTCTTTTTTTAGATACTGTAGTTAAGTGTATAAAACTGCAACACAGCTTACTAAATATTGCTGTAAATGCTGGGGTTTACCTACTTTACTAAGACCAACGTAGTAATTGCAAAGTTCAACTGAAAGTTACATTCGTGCTCGAGATCCAATGATTCTGAAAACATACAAGACTAAAGAAGATCACGATCTAGAACACAGGAATAATCAGTGTATTTTGCATACCATATCCTGCTAAAGATCAGTGAATTCTGTGTTGTTTTTTTACAGGATTCCTGTAGAATCTGCAAGCCAAACTAAAATTACAATTCAAAAAAGTATCTAAAAACTGGACAAAGCATTTAAGATATAACCTCAATTATAGCTGTTGTTTTTCACATTCCCCTGGTGTGCTTAAAATGAGCACTTGACTACTGGTAATGGGACAATGTTCTGCTTTATTTACTACTTTGCTTCCAGCCACAGTGGGTTGCCACATAAGGAAAAACAGAGTAATAATGGTTAATGGTAAAGGTCTTCCCCCATTGACTCTGCTGGTAAAATCATTGTAGGTAGAAATGAGTCATACATGTCCATAAGGATTGATCCCTGATCCACAGCCACTATAATTTTCCTCAGCAGGAAACAAGTCAGCCAAGGATTCCTCGCTCACTGGTTACGCAGTGGCCTTCAATAGAACGTGCTTCTGCATTGAGTAAGTTTGGTTCCAATGTCTTCCCTCCTCTTCTACAAGGTGAAATATCCTGGCAACACGAGACATCAAGAATGATCATGGAGATGTGAGAAAATTGTTCTAAAAACGGCACTAATTATCCAACCACTTTAAAAACGTTTATTAGAATAGTTTTCCAGTGCTACCTATTGTGTACATTTACTCAACGCATGCTTGATTAATATTTTCAATGTTTTTAATTTAGGTTTAATTTAAATTTCTACAGATGGTTTAATAATGCCAATAATGCTGAGCTGCCTCTTAACTCTCCAGATATGAATGGCAGCCATCCAAGCAATTCCCCAATGAGAATCAAGTTCATGAGCCTCTGTTGGGACTCAAATGCCATTTCTTCTCAAATGCCATTTACCTATTGAATCAGGGTGATAAATATGTTTGTTTGCTTATAGATTCTAAACTCCAATACAGTAAAAGGAAAGGTCAATTTACTGTTAGTTACTGTATGAACCTAAACTATTTTAAAAAACTAAATACAGGCAATTTACGGGGAACGAAGAGAATTACTTTTAACTATGCAAGCAGCATATATTTTTCACGTACTGTGTTTATGATTGAGAAAATTTAGAAAAAAATGTATGCTTACATAATTGACCATTTAGTAATGATTGGAGCTTAGAATTGCTAACCAAACAAACAAGCATCAGCAGATATGTATCTCACATAAACATTTTTAAAGGTTCCCTGCTTAATTTGCTAATGTTTTAAATCTAAGTGTTGTTACTAACCAATATATATATATATATATAAATAAATCAAACTAACCTACAACATTAAGGTTTGTTGACCAGGCTTTTACTTTCTCTGTTGTAGTTTCATTCTGTTTGTATTTGTGTACATGGTCAGGCAGTTCAATGGAATAAAGTGAAAAACAAATTTCAACATTGCAACGGTTGCACAGTAATTTAAAGAAACACAATATTGAAAAGATTGCTCTTGAAGCAGACTGGCTATTTCAGATCACTATTCTTACCCAAGATATGATCCACTTCTGTTGTCATCAATTTACAGTACCTAACTTTTCCTGTGCTGTGTCAGGTCTGATCCAAGTTTAGCTTTCTGTAAAATGTGCAGAATAAATAGATAATGCCTACTTAAAATAACCTGAGTGTCATTATATCATCCGCTTATAATGGCTTTGCAATGTCATGTCTACACCACCATTACTGCATTTCTGTTGCCAATAAACATGCCTGTGTTCAGAGCTTTCCTGGAAATAATAAGATTCAGTTGTGATTTTATTTTGGAACATTTCAGCAAATGTCTTGACTTTACACAAATAAGATGGTGCTGATATCTTTAGAAAGAGTTTACGATTATACTCAATGCCCTGGCATTTGGAAGCAAAATAGTTTTGCATTGTGATCCAGAGTGCTGGAAGTAACATGCTATATTACATTGTACACATGCAGTTGCTTCCAGTGTGTGAGTGTGGGAGTATATGATTGTACAAGCACTGTATTGTTGCTCCATTTTCCTCCAACTAAAAACTGCAATTGGAGACTACAAATGATTTGGAAAAAATAAAGAAAATTAGATGCTAACAAGAAAAATTGGCACAAGACCAAATATTGGAGATGGTCTTGTTCAAACCTTCATGATTGATGTTGAAATACTGTAGTGCTGGATGCAACACCCTGCACTTCTCAGGCCAGCTTAACAATGATCTCAGCAAGGCATTGATCCTGACCCTGCACTATAATGGAGGTAGGAGATATAATTTCATTTGTCTACATTGCTAATTTTCAATGTTACCAGGTGGCTACATCTTAATATGCTAATATATACAGTCAGTTAATGTGTACTGAAACAGTAGTCACAACGGCAATGTTAAATGAATAATAGAATGGAAACAATTTCAAGCACAGAACTGTGCAGCACTTTTTCTGCATTTTTTTTCCCACAAACCTGTTGGTTGATAGCTCTTGCTGTCCAGCAAACCATGTATATACCTGAAGCACTTCCACTCAATTGGTTACATTTGTTTAAAGTTGATCATTGGTGTATCTCCATTCTCTTCATAAGGCTAGACTGCAGTAGTACTTTTATATAAAATATGGCAAGCAAATAGTTCTATTTGCTTGCTATATTTTATATTCCTTATTGACAACTGTTTAAAATATACATACATATATTCCACACATTACCTTAGAATGGTAAGAATTGTATAAGCAGACATTCAGTTCCATGAGCTACTACTGCCACACTTGCTCATGCCCACAATACGCTGCCAAAAATGAATCTGGTTTCCTGACATCATGCATCTCTTAACCACTAATGGGTTTACATCATTGGATATGTACTTTATTTACAAGCAAGAAGATTTATCCCACGGGCATGATCAAAACAGAAAGGAAGAACACTGTCTCGCAATAGTGAAAACACATCTGTAAGTGTGACCACAGTTCTGTGGTAATATTATGAGAACAGATGCAAACATGTCACTGGACAATGACACTCACTACACAAATTGAGAACCATTTCCATAAAAACATTACATTAAATATGGGGAGGGGTTGGTGGATTTGAATTTCAGCCTTAACTGGCAATCAATGACACAAGCCTTTATCAGTTGACAAATTGACAACCGTTCAAGTTGTCAGGCTCGGCTTCAAGAAATGAAAGCCAATGAGAGAGATGGAAGAAACCTAGTGGCCAATTCATAAGCACTACTAATTGCATTTGCGAATTGGGACATCCTTTGAGTCTTATTAGTCTGAGAAGATCATTGCATGTTGGGAAGGGTGAAATGCATTATTTGCCAATGATACTGGGCGGGGCAGAATGAAGTAATTGACACAATCCAATTTGCTGTAAATTAAATTACACTTGTTGGCTGATCAAGGAACACTCATTGAGAGTCTGTGGTCATGGTTGCCTTCCACTCTTAGTTGGAATGCGTGCAGAAGAAAATTGGATTTAAAAAGTACACATGTGGAAAGAAAACATTAAGCAAGGAATGCACACAGGAGAATAAGGAGACTATGTTATTGGTAATAGTGGTTTGAAGCCATTCTTTTATTTCTTCAAAGTACTATCACACGGGTACTTCATACTCATAAAAAATTACACATAATTCAACCTTACTGGTGGGATATTCTCGATTTCCTTGAAAATCGTAAGTTGCTTAACCTATGCAAAACCAATAAAAATGATTTTTTTCTGAGAGGTTCTACAGTTTTTTTAACACTTTTAAGTCCAGGACAAAATTACTCATCATGCAAACTGAGTTTTACAAACTGCTTTTTTTCGCATTTCAGGAGGAGACAAAGGACATTTACCACCCTTTACGAGTTACTGAAGTATATTTTTCATCAATTATTATGCAGGACTTAAAATGCTAAGCATGCAATACTGGTCGATGGCAATAACATAGTCTTCTTATTTGTGGGTCAACAAGAAAACCTTATAGAAAATGGTTCCAAATTATAAAATTAATTTATACTTGTGCTCTATCCACAAGATATAAAGAATGATTGTCTTTTCTTTGCCAAATTTTACAGAGCAGTCTTTAGACACAACAGTAAAGCCAATAATACATAACACTTTTTTCTCCTTTTATCAGTTGCCAATAAATGCAACAGTGAACTTTGGCTGGAAATAAGAAGGCCATTGTTACTAGGTAGACAGAAGTGTTGACAGAAATGTTATTTGAAGTGATTGCAGATGCATGCTGTTGGATCTGCTAGGATAAACACAGGTGGGGAACTTCTTTGGTTTTCTTTTTTAAAAAGGGAGGAAATTGATTCACAGTAGCTGGCTAGTACTTATTCTCCATCCTGTCTTTAATTCTTAGATGCTTAACCAACAAGCGATGTGCAGTATTTCCAGGCCAGGCAGGTCTGCCACAGGTACCAAAATAAGAGGTGGGAACTTTGAACCCATCAGTTCTTCCAGACATCTCCTGAACTCTGGAAAGATAATGACAACAATGTTAAATATATGGTTCAATAACTTACTCACTGCAGAACTTAAAATTATCACATTTGGAATGCACATAAGCATTGATTGAATCAAAAAAATCAAAGGGGGTGCAACTGAAAAATATGGGCGTCATCCTACAACTGTGCACCATTAAAAGGAAAGCTGGAGGGCAGGCTTGCTTGAAATGCTCTCTCTGATACTGATGATTTTTATATGGTGAGATAGCCACCACATAAGACCCACAAGCTCTTTGTCTTTGCAAAAAAAAATCAATCTGTAATGTCTGAAATATTCTCACTTTGTTTGCAGCATATGGTAGCTGATTTCAAGCACCTCACATCAAACGCTTGAATCACCCAAGGACAACCCCTCAGAGTATAAATCCCATACATGGCTTATGCTGTGAAAACGAGTCCCACCGAGGATTGGATATCTGGTACTAGGATAAGAACGCAGTCCCTAAAGATGTGCCCTATGGTCAGTGGAGCACTTAACCCATTGACCAGGGCCTATATGATTATTCAGAGTTATTGATGTCCCTTAGTCCCTAACAGATTGTGGAATATTCACATCTTCTTACTGTCAAAGCATCTGGACACTAATTGGATGCATTAGAAAGACAGTGGCTTTGGCTTCATTGCTGGCGAATTGAAGACCTGTGGTAAATGATTCAAGTTTGATTGTTCTCAATGGTGGCTTCATTTTTTGCTGGGTGATTGTTAATTATTTTGTATTTTTTCTGCAAAATTTAATCAAAGCTATCTTTAAATAGTGAGTTTTTAGAAAATGAGTCTCTGTGATAAAAAAAACACTAAGACAAATTCTTAAAATGAGATCAAAATGTCTTAGAATTGGCTGCGGGTGCAACATTTGCAATGTGATGACTGCCCCATAGTTGTTAGAATACAATATTAATATTATTTCTGTACACTCAAGGTGATCTCCTTTTATAACATATGAAACACAGTAACCTATTGTGATCAAGATAATATCATAGTGTGAGGATTTAAAGGGTCTAATATATTACAGTATACTAAAATCCATTTTTTTTTAAACAAAGAAAAAGTTTATCTTTGATGGAACTCCTGGCTACTATTTGAAAATACCAACTCACTCGGTTATTCTCCACTTGGTAAATAATATATTCCGACAGTCAGATAATACGCAGAATTATAGGTAATCTTAAAGTGTGTTAGTGACACTGGGTGGCAGTGACAGTATATGACCTCTCTAGCACCACAGCAACATAATTACCACCGATTACAAAAACAACAACAATGTATATTTATATAGCACTTTTCACGTAGGATAATATCTGAGTGCCATTTCACAAAGATGGTGTCAGATACAAAGCAAGGCAGGAGGGGTGGTGACCATAGGCGCGGTCGAAGAAATAGCTTTATAGGAGGAATTTATAGATAGAGAGGGAGCAGATGAAATGGTAGAAGGAGGGAGTTCTCAAAGTTAGGGGCATAGTTACTGAAGGCTTGGTCACCGATAGACTTTTGGAAGGGTGGAGGATGCGCAGCAGGCCTGAGTTAGCAGAGGAGAAGAGGGAAGCAGAAGGGTGAGATAGAAGATCACACAGATAGAGGTCATAGGGCATAGGTTGTGACGCAATTTATAGGTGAAGGTGAGGACCTTGAAATCCATCAGTTGGAAGACAGGTTAGGATCAATCAAGTAAAAGAATTGTTCTGAGAAGTGTGAAAGATCATCTCAGCAATGAAGCAAAGGAACCACATGATGGTAAGCACATGGATCCTTGTGTTGCAGTCATGAGATATTGGAAAAATAAGATTATGAAATCAAGGGAATGTCTCTTTAACTAAGACATATTGCACTACATAATTGTCCCAGGACACCAAGTTGCATCTAAAAACAACAACAAATTGCATTTGTATAGCGTCTTTCACATCAGGAGGAATCCCAAGGCACTTTATCTAAATGATAAAGCTGGACTTTTTTGGTGTGCAACTGGATGTGCCCACTGACTGGTCACTTCTACTTGCTTGTGTTTGTTACCTTAATGTCTATTATGAGCTGGCAACATAAACAGCAGGTGAAGTCACATTCAAATGTATTGCTGAATACCTAACCTCAACCTTTTTCAAATTCTAAAGTTAACAGAATATACCAATGAACCTTTAGTGGTTAAAGGCAGGAAGAAAAGTGTGAAAACTCGTGTGAAGGAGTCACATTTAAGCGACACTTTGCATTGGATCAGTAAGCATCAGCAGCTAAACCATGCCATGACTTCATGAAGTACTCAATGATCTGAAACAAGCAAAAGTAATGGCTAGGAGCTGAATAACAAAAGGTTTGCATTTATTTGTCGAGAGTTGGCTGCTGGATACAAATACGCTGCCTGCTTCATGCAGAAATTTATTCATTTCCAATTGATGAGATACTTCAGAGAATGTTTGTACTTTACAGCAAACTTCCCAATTTCTTATTAACTTATAACTCACTTATCTTAATTAACTTATCTTCACAGTGATCCTGGATGATTCACAAAACCAACAATATTATCAGATCCAATGGTTCAACAATATGAATACAGGGTTTCAATTTAAAGCTTGCAACAATGAGAGATTTCATTCCTCACTCTTCACGTTCAATGCTATAGCACATAGTTCAATGCACTTGTTAATAATATTACTCCTAAAAATAAGAGAAGCATTAAGGAGTTACTCAGATGTTTCAGGCAATAGCATTTTAGACCTGTGTAAAACTGCCTAGTCTTCTGTCCAGGGCCACATTACATGGCACCTCATATATCCCTACTGGATCATTTTGTCGAGCACTTACTGCAAGTTCAGTAAAACTAACAATGTGACTATATTAGTAACTCATTCTCAGATATGGAATACAATGAATGCCTTGAATCCTAGAAGCAGAGTCTAGAGCTGCTCAGTGACAAAAGCTTGTAGTTGAAATTTAAATTTAGGTATTTACACAAATATGGACTGAAGTTATGTGTGGCTATTCCAACCTGGCAATGCAGCTTAATGTAGATACTCTCCATCACTATATACTTGTGTGAGACAAGGCTTAGTGCCGACAGCTATGCAGGCTAAACATAGAACGTGGTTTCAAATGGAAAACAACCTCAGTGGGGCAATGTCCAAAATACCTGGGTGAATCAGTTTGTTGCTCTTCAGGAAAGCTTGTCATCTTTTATAATAGGAGAGTTATTTCTCCTCCCCTTCATTTGTCACTACATGGCAGGTATCGATGCGTAACTAGCCAGAAGACACTGGTGAAGCTATCAATATCATTGCAATACTTTTTCTGGCCAGAAGGAGCATCTGGAACTTAACTTTGACTCCAAGGAAGTGATATTTCTGATCTAATTATTAATTAAATAAGAAAAGTACCAGAACAATACAGGAATGGAGAAGACAGATAATTTAACTTTAATTGCACATATATATCTACAGGATTTAAAAAAATATATAATTGACATTCTTTTCAAACAAACGTAGTTAACAAATACTATTTCTTGACATATGACTGTTTTAAACAAAGATCATTTTAGTTTTACCCTATACTAATTTAATATATTGCATAGTAAATGCGTGTTGATGTAAAATCTGTATCTGACAGGGCTTTGTGCTACTGCAGGCAACAACAAAGTTCTAATGCTGCAGATGGATTTCATTCAATTGAGCTTCAACACTCTGAATAATTGATTTCTTATGTGGGGCATATATGACTGAAACAGGGATAATGCCTAAGCATATGCTTAGAGGCCTGAAACAATTACAATATAACTATGCGTGCCAGAACATATGGCTTCATGCCTTTACCAAAAGAGGTATACTTTCTTTGAAACTTTACACTGGTTAAGTTCTAAGTTCTCTCAGGCGCATCAGAGAAATCTGGCTGATCTTTTAGGATTAACATTTATTCTTGAGAATGCAATAACAGGTAGCAAATTAATTGTCAGATTCTAAAGGTACCGATCAACTGCAGACATGGCTCAGTTGTTTTTTGACGAAAGTCTGCCCTATATTTAGCTAAATCAGTTTCTCATCTGAGAACCAAAAAGGAGTCAAAGGCCCAGAGAATAGTAGAGAAAGACTACTTTAGTACAACAGAGTTAGTATGACATAAAATGAAAGCTCACAAGTATTCAATAGTCAGGATCAGCTCAGTCAGTGCCTCAGGTAACATACCAAGAAACTGGAGACTCAGCAAAGTAGCATGGAAATTGAGGTTGGGTCATCAACCTAGTCCACATAAATAAATCTCAATAAGAATGAAAGGGATGTATACCAAAAGGTAAGAAAGTTTCCAGCTGCTTGCTTTTTTTTAAAAAAATGTTGTTTTTATCCATCTCAACTCTTTCTCAGTTTTAGTCACAGCCAAACCAAATCTGCACACTGTGAAAAGGAATGTACACTTTCTTCTAACAGCAGCGCCACTTCATGCAGTCCAGGGTTGGTAGCAGCACTGAGACTATTTGGCGATTTTCTTCATGCCTCTGGAAGTAGTAAAACAAATCTGTCCCCCTCACTGTTTTTGTTAGTTTTCACCTCACTGATCAAGGAAGGCTGTGTAACTAGAAGTCGTGAAGTCACAATTCAAGACTTCGAAAGCATGCTTGAGTGGCCTTACACAAATTAGTCATTTATATTTTGCCTATTAACTATGCAAATTGGTGAAATTGTGTCACAGCATGACGAATGACAAATATTGCAAGGCCCTGCTATTTTAACATGCTATTAAAGACTGAGGAAGTACACATGAACAACCGCTGGCTTTTTACACTATATTTGAGAAAACATTTCAGAATCATCCAGCCTTCTATCGATGTGTTAGTCATCCATTCACAGCTATTCAGCTGAGAATTACCATAACAAAATAATTGAGATTTCATCTGCTATTTAGGTATGATGCATGCACCTTCACCTCAAGAAACTATTTTAAATGTAATCTCCTTATTTAAAGAGCAAGGAAAATAAACACAATAAAAAAGGAAT